CTATGTCCTCCCCTCTCCTTTAATTGAGCCGTCATCGACCATAGCCATGTCATCGTCGCCGTCCCGAACCCACTGCTGCCACCGGCTATGGTGCTCGCCGCCTCTAGCCACCCTCGGCCACGCCATTGCCTCTAGAAGGTGAGGGAGGGCCAACTCTAGCTGTCCGGGCCTTCGGCCGAGCCACCCCCTTCTCTGCCCTTCACCGGTGAGCTCGTGCCAAGCCGTCGCGCACGCTCACCGTCTCATAGAGATGCGGCGCTGGAAGGAGGGGATAGAGGGAAGAGAGATAGAAGAGCTGACATGTGGGCCAAGGGCAGTTTTGACATTTCATGCAATTTCTCTCTCTTCCTCATCTGGACATTATTATTTTAATGATGCGGTATTCACCAGCAAATATCTAATTTTTGATAGTGTTTTCCCCCAAAAGTCTATTCGCGTAGTGTCCTAAACTAAAACTCCGCGTCCTAAAACTAAAACCACAAAGTCACGTTGTTAGCAAAATTTGCCTCTTTTTTTTTCCACAAAATTTGCCGCAAACTAAAACTAGGATGTATTTGGATGGAGGGCTTGGATAGGATATGGCCACCCAAATTTTGGAGGTGTTTGGATGGTGGGCAACACTGGGATATGGCCACCACCTAAGGAATATTTCCTCTAGATGCTGGCTCCGTGCATCCGGCCGATTCGGCCGGACGGGGTGGCCCAGGACCGCGTGAATCGTGCACCCCTCACCTCCTCCCCATCCTTTTCTCCTTTTTTTTATGAGAGATTTGATAATTTATCACTTATTTAAGTGGGTTTTGATTATTTGACATCCTAGTCCACTTTCATATACTTAGATAGTCCTACATGTCATCCTCACAAGTACTCCCTCCGTATTTTAATGTATGACGCCGTTGATTTTTTGACAAACATTTGACCTTTCGTCTTATTTAAAAAATTTATGTAATTATAATTTATTTTATTATGACTTGATTTATCATCAAATATTCTTTAAGCATGATGTAAGTATTTTTATATTTGCATAAAAATTTTGAATAAGACGGATGGTTAAACGTTGGTCAAAAAGTCAACGGTGTTATACGTTAAAATATGATAACATGGAGAGAGTATCAATTAAAGCATTTGGGCAACGGAAAAAAAGGTGTCAAATTATCAAAATTTTCCTTTTTTCTCCTCTCTTCTCACCGGTTCACCAGTGCCAAACCCTACCTCTCCTCCCTCCTCTGTTTCGGCGGCGCATCAGGCGGCGTGGAGGGCGGACTGGTAGGCGGTGCCGGGCCGGGGGTGGTTCGGCGGAGCGGGTGGCGGCGCCGGGGCCGGGCGGCAGGTGTCGGCGGCGCAGGCGGTGGGTGTCGGCGGCGCGGGCGCTGTCTCCTGGCGGCGCGGGCGGCGACTCCAGGCGACCCCTTCCTCGTACCCCCGATCTCGGAAAAGAGGATTATAAGGTAAAAGCACACACAAATCTAACACCACTACAGCGATAAACCCCCCAAACCCCACCACCACGCCGCCGCCGCCGCCGCCGGAGAAGATGATGGTGCCGCTGGATCCGTCATCCAAGCCCACCTCCCAGCGCCGCATCGCGGAGGGGGACACCGTCGTGGTGTACGAGCGCCACGACGCCATGCGCGCCGTCGCCGTGCGCCCGGGGGCCGTGCTCCAGAACCGATTCGGCGTCTTCCGCCACGACGACTGGATCGGCCGCCCCTTCGGCTGCAAGGTCCACAGCGCCGCCTCCGCCGGCGGCGGAGGGGCTCGCGGGGGCAAGGGGAAGGGCGGCGGGTTCGTCCACCTCCTTGCGCCCACCCCTGAGCTGTGGACGCTCGTGCTCAGCCACCGGACGCAGATCCTCTACCTCGCCGACATCAGCCTCGTCGTCTCCTACCTCGAGCTCGTCCCCGGGTGCCTCGTACTCGAGTCCGGCACCGGGAGCGGCTCCCTCACCACCTCGCTCGCCCGCGCCGTCGCCCCGCACGGCCGCGTCTGCACCTTCGATTTCCACGACCAAAGGGCCGCCTCCGCAAGGTACTAATTTTTTTCTCTTATGGACTGTAATATTTGTTTTTCTGATGGAAGAATCGATCACCTGATAAAAATATTTAGGCCGAATTTTGGGGAGAAAAATAAACAGCTGTGTCTAATTTATATATATTATCTTAGCATTCTGCATACATTTTTTTTTCTTATGGACTAATATTTTTCTTATGGAAGAATCGATCACTTATAGAATATTTAGCCCGAATTTTGGGGAGAAAAATAAACAGATGTGACTAATTTATAGATATTATCTTAGCATTCTGCATACATTTTTTTTCTTATGGACTAATATTTTTCTTATGGAAGAATCGATCACTTGATAGAATATTTAGGCCGAATTTTGGGGAGAAAAATAAACCACTGTGACTAATGTATAGATACTTATCTTAGCATTCTGCATAGAGAAGGTAGATTGGTGATAATTCACAAGCAATATTATCCTTTGGTGGTTTCCCTGCCTGATATGATTGTCACAAATCAGAATCACCTGTGCACTTTTGCACACACATTAGCTTGGAGTTGTCCAAGCTTTTTGATGTGAGATCGTTTTCTGTTGTGGTGGTAATGCACGATAAAGTGATTTGTGTGGCACCACCTAGCTGGTTGTATGGAGCTATTTTGCAGTAATGCACAATAAAAGTATTTTGTGTGATATGCTGTTATAGAAAATGACTTTACAGATAGGATAGGGCCATAGGGATGATTTCTCAACTTATGTCTTTGCAGCACCTGTAAGATACTAGGATGATATGATCGACAGGGTTCACCCCCTTTTCAACTCCACTTGAAGCATAACACTAATGTGAAATGCAGATTACACTACAGAGAAAAGTTTACTTGGACTAAAAATTGTTATTGTCACTCAACATGGCACAGCAGATAGAGAACTTATATAACATGAAAGAGAAGATTTTCAGAACCGTGAATCCATGATTGTCCAATACTTCTCCATAGACATATCATTTTGATGGATATTTTCCTTTTTGCAATTGCGATTTGGTTTCCATTTGTAAATAGGGAAGATTTTGAGAGGAATGACCTGACCAGCATAATCACAGTCGCAGTTCGGGACATACAAGGACAAGGGTTCCCTGAGGAACACACTGGTGCTGCCGATGCTGTGTTCTTGGACTTACCCCAGCCTTGGCTTGCAATACCTTCTGCGGGGACTATGCTAAAGCAAGATGGAGTTTTATGCTCCTTCTCACCCTGCATTGAGCAAGTGCAGCGGGCTTGCGAAGCTATGAGATCATGTTTCACAGGTTCAATGCATGCTCAGAATTTTTTTCTGTCAGAAATTGAGGGCGTATTATAACTGTTTTTCATGATTCATGGGAGCAAATGACCCCATTATACTCATAGATTGATTGTGGTACCAATTTGCACATCTGGGATTGAAAGTTTGATTATTTTGCCTTGTGTTGCTTTGGAGTAATTTTGGGAGAGAACTTTACATATTTATTTCGAGTTGTAGCAAACTTGTTTAGTTTGTAGTTTGTACCTTGATAGCTGTTTGGATGACAGACCTTAAGTTAGCTGCTTCGACAAACAGTATTTAAAGTTTCTTGTTTGAGTATGAAAGTTGTAAAGATTTTGCTACAGCTTACAATTTGATGTTTTGTGGGATCCATTTAACTTAGGAGTCATTTTCATCACCATTCAATTTTATTAGTGGGTAGTCTTATTCAGACTTATAATTTGATGATGCGACTCTAGTTCTATCATATTGGAGTTACAGAATGGTGACATTTAGACCCTGAAAAATTATATCCCATTTTGAATATAAATTATCTACAGTTGACTTTACTAAACACTAAACTATTTCTGAATACATAACCATAGATTTGAAAATATTGACCTATAGGTAATACAAGTAAACATTATCCTGAGTTAACCCACAAAAGTGGGGGCTGAACAAAAGTTCTATTTTAACATTTCCGTGTTATAATGCAGATATTAGAACCTTTGAAATTCTTCTTCGCACCTATGAAGTACGAGAAGGTGGTTTGAAGGGTGCCACAACCAATGAAGAGTCTAATGCAGTGCCTCTTGCTCAGAAAAAAAGAAAACTTCTTGCTGCTGCAGAAACTTTAGATGTTAAGCAGAATTCTAGTGTTATGGTTAGGCCTTGTAGCACTGCTAGAGGACACACTGGCTACCTGACATTTGCGAGGCTTCGTGTGCATGGAAACTAAACTGATCCTCCATACAGGTGAGTAGGTATACAAGAGTAGGGATCAAAATTATGTCCTGTTTAAGACCTATAAATTGATACAAACTGCCAATTTATTTCTACCTAGCCACACTTTTATTACTCTTTTAGCGTAGTGCTTTTGTGTTGAGTTGTAACTGTTTGCTCTTGCTCTGTAACTTGATAGGGAAACTTGTGGACTCACACCTTCATAATAGAAGGAAATTGAGTGTGCAACCCCATGTTCAGGTATTCTCTCAAGATTGATTTGGAGATGATCATTCTTTTTCTGAAATACTGTTATGGCCATTTGCTGCCATTGCTGATAGTCAACCAGGGTCACCTGTACTGAACTGCATTTACCTGTACGTCGAGCTGTGGGCCTTGCATTTGTTGTAATGGTGTAGAAGTATTTCCCAGAGTTCCTTTTTAGGAGTACTTGAGGAAGTATTGGGAGGAGTACTTGAGGAGGTATTGGGAGGTATAAGATGCCATACTTCCTGAAGGACAGTAAAAACGCTCTTGTTTAACCTGGCCAAGTGGGCTGGGCATGTTTGGATTTCACGTTTCCATGCGTTGCCAGAAAAGGAATTCAAATATCTATCTTTTTTAATAAATGTGTTTTCACAGGTTGCCGAAAAAAGGTGTGGTATGTTTCTGTTTGATTGATTAGCACCGCCTAACCTCTTTTTCCTAAACCATGTAATACAGTTAATTTAAGTCCTATTGGATGAAACAAATAAACCAGAGCGGTGAATGTACGAATATACTTAGACAAAGTCAAATAAGAGACATGTTGCCATTGCATAAGTTTAGGTGATATCGCCATCCAAGTGATTGAGTAGTTGATATAGATCACACCTAAAATTCTAAAATAGACTAGTTATGCCATTAGCCTCCATGCACAAGCCATAAATAACTTGACTAGATGGCCAGCTAATTGATTAGTAAACTATTTATATAGGACTGTTGTTTTAAAAAAAATACAGATTTTGTTGTAGTACATGGCGACTTTTTGTTTACTTCCTGAACATCTTAAAAGTGAATATTTGGAGGAACACACTCTTAAAAAAACATGATTATTCGCTACTTTCCAGTCGCATAAACCTAGACGTTAATTATGATGTTTTAGACTAGGTTGAAGTTAAACTTTTATAATTTTGATTATAAATGACTTCAAAAATACTTAGTTTAAAGGCACTAGAACAACAAATATAGTTGTATATATATCATAGAAAAACATAGTCAAAGATATATTTCCGAGACTGTTATTGTGCAACACGTCAAGGATACCATGGACATTAAAATATATATTTATGATTAAATAGGAGAGTGTATTCTTCCTACATCAAAATTCGCACAAAAAGAGAACTCTAAGTTGCAGTGTTTCCCTATCAAGTATCAATCGCGAGCTGCATAACTTATATAGTGATAAGGAGAAACCGATGGGGATTTAAAGGCTTGATGCGATGACGCTCTTGCAGGAGAAACCGATGGCTCTCCCGCGTGTCTCGCGTGACGCTATAAACAAACCGAATATACAATGCGAGCAACGCAGCTATAAAAGTTGGCGAACGACATGTAGCATGCATTCCAAGCAGAGCCAGAACAGTGCGTGACACCGTAATGCCGCCGGAGAAGCAGGACGCAACGATGGCGAGGCGACAGCGCCACGCCGTGATGATCCCGTACCCGGCGCAGGGCCACATCACGCCGATGATGAAGCTGGCCAAGCTGCTCCACGCGCGTGGCTTCCACGTCACCTTCGTCAACACCGAGTTCAACCACCGCCGCATGCTCGCCTCCCGGGGCGCCGCCGCGCTCGACGGCGGCGTGCCGGGGTTCCGCTTCGCCGCCATCCCCGACGGCCTCCCGCCGTCCGACGCCGACGCCACCCAGGACATCCCCGCGCTCTGCCGCTCCACCATGACCACCTGCCTCCCCCACGTCGTCGCCCTCCTCGCCGAGCTCAATGACCCGACCTCCGGTGTGCCGCCGGTCACGTGCGTCGTGGCGGACGCCATCATGTCGTTCGCGTACGACGCGGCGAGGCGGATCGGCGTGCCGTGCACCGCGCTGTGCACGCCGAGCGCCTGCGGCTTCGTGGGGTACAGCCACTACCGGCAGCTCGTGGAGCGCGGCCTCGTGCCGCTCAAGGACGCGGCGCAGCTCGCCGACGGGTACCTCGACACGGTGGTGGACGGCGCGCGCGGCATGTGCGACGGCGTCCAGCTGCGCGACTTCCCCAGCTTCATCCGCACCACGGACCGCGGCGACATCATGCTCAACTTCATCATGCGCGAGGCCGAGCGGCTCACCCTCCCCGACGCCGTCATCCTCAACACCTTCGACGACCTCGAGCGGCCGGCGCTGGACGCCATGCGCGCCATCTTCCCTCCGGTCTACACCGTCGGGCCGCTCCCCCTCCACGTTCGCCACGTCGTCCCCAAGGGCAGCCCGCTGGACACAGCCATCGGCTCGAACCTCTGGAAGGAGCAGGGCGGCCTCCTCGAGTGGCTCGACGGCCGTCCTCCGCGCTCCGTCGTGTACGTCAACTACGGCAGCATCGCCGTGATGACGAACGAGCAGCTCCTGGAGTTCGCCTGGGGCCTCGCCCACAGCGGCTACCCATTCCTCTGGAACGTGCGCCCCGACCTCGTCAAGGGCGACGCCGCCGTGCTGCCGCCGGAGTTCCTCGCCGCCGTGGAGGGCCGCGGCATGCTGACGACATGGTGCCCGCAGGAGCAGGTGATCGAGCACCCCGCGGTGGGTGTGTTCCTGACGCACTCCGGGTGGAACTCGACGCTGGAGAGCCTCGCCGCGGGCGTGCCGATGCTGAGCTGGCCGTTCTTCGCGGAGCAGCAGACGAACTGCCGGTACAAGCGCACGGAGTGGGGCGTCGGGATGGAGATCGGCGGCGAGGTGGAGCGGAGCGACGTGGCCGCCACGATACGGGAGGCCATGGAGGGGGAGAAAGGGCGGGAGATGCGGCGTCGCGCGGCGGAGTGGAAGGAGATGGCCACGAGGGTGACGCTGCCCGGTGGAACCGCGGATATCAACTTGACAAGGCTTATCGACGAGGTGCTGCTCAGTGGTGGGAAGAAGCGTCAAGCTTTGGACGCCCGTGACTGAATCTAAAAGTTTACGATAATATTGTGTTGGCATGTTTATATTGAAAAGGTTTTCTTAAAAATTAATTTGAATCGTATATAATCTTACAAAATAGCAGCAGTCCAGACATCCAATGGTCCACAGTGAGGAAGCACTAGAAGTGCGTGGTTATGTAGCTCCATTCACTAGGTTTAAAATCGTATTGTCGACAATTCGACCTATTCATTTATATTTGTTATTTAATGAGGTTTATGGGATTTATCTGGATCTATCTTTGTAAGTGTGTAAAGGGACACACTTACGGCCAGCAAGTATCACTACTAGAGAAACTATCTTTCGTGGGTTGCCTAAATACCTCAATAGCCCCGATTCATCAAAAAAAACCGGGACTAGAAATCATTTTTAGTCTCGGTTTAAAACTAAATGATCTTTAGTCCCGGTTCATTCATTGTCAGGCCGTGGCAGGCATCCTAGTATCTTTAGTCTCGATTAGTGTTAACAACTGGAACATTAAAGATCAGTGCTTTAGTCCTACCTAGTTGTTTATAAAGAAAAACCCTTCGAGGGAGACAGCTGAGACGAAAAAGCGCACGTGGAGAGACAAAAAAAAAATCTCTATCTTTCTATCCCTTGACCTTATTTCCTTCCTATCCTTATCTTCTTATCTCTTATCTTCCTCCTCCTCTCCTTCCCCGGGCCCTCCCCCTCCCCCTCCTCCCTCCCCTCTTCATTAGCTACGGCCGTGGCGGCCGGATGCGGCAGCTGGGTGGCAGGGCACGGCGGGCGGCGGTAGGCGGCGTGGCGCGACGCGGCGGGCAGCGGCAGGTGGCAGCGTGGCCGTCGCGGAGGGCTGCGGCAGGCTGCAGGCGGCGGCGCCCAGCACGGCCGAGGCTGTGACTGATGTAATTTTGTGTTGTAAATTTGGAATGATTTTTAGATGTTTTTGTGAATGATTTTGTGATATAAATTTGTGGATGATTTTGCATTATGATGTAAATTTGTGGATGATTTTGTGATGTTTGTGTGAACGTGGATGATTTTGTTATTGTATTTGTGAATGATTTTGTGAATGTGGATGATTTTATCTGAGTCCAGTTAGAACTCAATATTACAACAGAAACACCCAATGAAAAGGGAAAAGAAAAAAAAATCTTTAACCCCAGGTGGTTCTCGGCGTGGAACTAAAGATGGCTTTTGCAAGCACGTGGTGCATCCCTCTTTAGTTCCGGTTGGTGTTATCAACCGAGACTAAAGATGACGATCTTTAGTCCCGGATTCTCTCTCCCGGTTTACTTCCCGGGATTAAGGGGTTGCAAACTAGGAGAGATAAGGGTTTCTCCAGTAGTGTGTGGTGCGAGTTCAAGGTAGAGAGTACGCACATGCGTCTCCCTTAATAAAAAAGTGAGAGAGGTCACTTCATCTGCGGTTGTTGAAGTGATACTTGGTAAGCCATCATGCAATACTCACTCAAGCCTTCAACGAGTCAGTTATAAGTAGGATATACATCACTATGACACTGAAGAGTCATAGTGTAGGAACCAAGCTCACAAACCATCAACACTCTGACAAAAAGAAAAATGTCATGGCCTACATAAGAAGGTGTGGTGAGGTCCTAATTCAGGGAAAATACATGATTATAGTTTGCTGATCAATTATGAATGGATGCATGGAGCCAAATCTCACATGGATAAGATAAGATGTTAGGTCTAATGAGAATTGGAGGCACCTTGCAACCAACTGTCACATTGAAGATCAGAGTGATATCACAGTGCTGTTGGGCGAGCAGAGGAACAAACTTGCGTGCTTGTTCCTTGAGATTCTTTCCCTACACGACTCTCTATGCGAGATGTTATTTCCACGCACATTTCTGAACAAGCTGCGCCTATCTTCTTCACAGCTTCTCACTTCTGGATATCAGCTACCAATACTGTCCCCCTCCTGTTCCACGTACATTTGGTTTTTCGCATTAGCTTCCAGTTTGTTTTAGGCAGAAGATTGAAACGCTTGACCTCGTTAATCAATTTGCAAATGGAGGAATCTTGTGAGAATTTCATGGGAATTGAACTAATTCCTATATGAACTAGCTGCAAATTTTCTGTGAGCCAAAGAGCCTTAAACAAAGGGCAAGTGGGTGTTTGTATCCAAATTTATTAATGGCGTATAGATTTCAGAAATTTGGTGTAGTCAATCGATAGATCACCAAATTTGTATTTGTATCCAAATTCATTAATGGTTACACATGATATAAGGCAAAATTTGGTTATACCACAGGTGAAGAGGCCGGTTCTGGAAAATAACACTAAAGGTTCTGTCCACAGGTGTCCATCTTCTATGCTAACAGAGTTAGCTGAGAAAAAGAAAAGAAAAAAACCTTCAGGCTACACCTGCTGCTACCGTTGGCAGAGGTCTATATAACGCGCGATGCAGAAGAAAAGGGCTTCTGTGGTACTTCTGGATCGGGGAAATTTTTTGGGGATTCCAATCCGGAATAAGGTTAAAATGTAAACAAATTTTGGCCACATTTGAGTAATTTTGGTTAATTCCCAGAAAATTTAAAAAATTATTGTGGGGATTGAAATTTTAAACCGAAATATGAAACCTTGCGATTGACAACGATAACTATGACCTCGAGTCAACCCGCCGTTTGACCGCCACACATCTTCTGTGCTAGCCAGTAGCCACTAGCTGCCATCCCTTCTACCTCCGGATCAGTCGACCCCATCACTGCCGTGCCCATGATATTCGCTCAAACAGAGCCAATTAATCAACTGAACTTTGAAGCTGAAAATTCAGAATTGTTTGGGAGCACAAAGGGACATAACAAACTTATGAGCAGGCAGAATGTGCTCAATGGGTGAAACTCGACGTTGGAGATCCTCTATGCCGGCTTGCCTGTGCTCAGCTGGCCGGTCCTCTTTTGCCAAGCTACTAACTACAAGTAAAAGTGCATGAAATTGGGGTTTCATATCCTATACTATAATGACTCTACCATTAATATAAGCACTGACGTGTGGGATAATAAACAGGTGAAAACCATATACCAGTGACTATAATGGTGAGGATCCTCACCCAGAGTGGGGTTATGGGATGGAGATGGCCGTGAGGTTTAGCGGTAGGGGCAGCAGATGCGGTACAAGCAGCAGAATGGAAGGAGATGCATGTGCGGGCTATATATGCGACATGTGGGTCCCATAGTGCCACTTGACCTGACATTCGTTTTTCGATAATGTTTATGGATTTACCATTGATCTATATATTTAAGATATAAAGGGGCGCACTTACTAGTGTGGCTGCCATGTGAGTTCGTGGTAGTATGCGTACACGTCTTTTGTGTAATGGAAAAAGAAAATATGGATCGCTTGATGTGGTTGTTGGAGTCATATATGACTCAAGCCTTCAACCAGACATGTTCAGCTATAAATAGGATGCATCACTTCGACACTTACTGTCGTATATTGAGGATCAATAGTGTAGAAACCAAGCTTAGACACCATCAAAACTCTGAGAAATGAAAAGGAAATGTCATGGTCTGCATAGGAGGGTGAGGTTCTACTTTAAAAGAAAATAAGGCAGTAGTTTGCCCATCAATTATATATAAATGTATATACTCGGAACCATATCTCAAACAGATCACTTAAAAGACTCCAGGCCTTGACTGATAAGAATTGGAGGCACCAGGAACTAAAGTTCAGTTCATTGTGACATTGGGTGTCAGACCACACAGGTGTTGGGCAAGCGAAGGCATAAAACAAGAGAGTATAAGAACACAAGTTGGGAATATATAGTATAAAGCACAAGTTCCAGCACTCCGAATTCTCGAACCAGTGTGTTCAGAAAAGTGCATACCAATGACCACAAGGGGGTAGGATGTAGATCCCATTCTAACGACATATCCCATGAATTGCATATACTCCCCTACATGATGAAGCATTGAAGCTAATAGCAGAGGGAGCATATGACAGAGTTGCATTGTGAAAGGTTGGGAATTGGGATGGCATAGTACTATGGTCATTAGAGGAATTAAAGAAGAGAGAACCAATGGTATGATTGGTTTTATGCCTTATAGGTGAAGTTTCTCAGAGTTAACAGATCATTGCTGCGGTATTTGAGGCATGTTTATCATTGGCAAGCTTGCCCAAAATTCTGCCAATATAACCAATTGGTATGATTGTGAACGCTGGCAGCCAAACATACCCTACGTAAGGGCATTTTGATCATTCTCTCTAATGTAATAAACTGAGTATTCAAATGAAAATATTGTGAATCGGCCTTGCTACCTGATATGATTCATAGCAAATTAAAAGAATTAAAGTGTATATACATGCTGAGGGAAACACTTAGGGGTCTTCCGGCTAGCTTCACAAGGTCTTAGGCTAGACGATATGGGTTTGAAGCATCACCCCTTCTAATTATTTGATATTAGGTCATTTCCTAATATTTGCTTTTTTTATATATTCATGCTAAGCCATATATGGGCCTGTTTGTCCAGAATCGTTAATATGTTGACACGGGACCTATGTTTTTTCTTTTCTTTTTATCTTTTCTGTGTCTGATAAAACTACTATTTTAACAAGTTTAACATCCCAGTTTCAACCAAAAAATAAATACATTGTGGAGATTATGGATACCCCATACCCACATGGCATGTACATCCGACTGGGTATAAGGGTACCATATGTAGATAGAATATCTTTAAGGGGCTCGGGTTAAATTCCTAACTTGTGTATCATGGAAATACTGGGGTCCTAGTCGGTTACGATTGTATTTTATCTTTTACTTGCCTATTCCGTTAGGAATATGGGCTGTATGTTGTAATACAGACTCCTCTCACTATATAAGGAGAGGTCCGGATGACTCTTGGGGCATAACTTTTCTTCCAGATTATACAATCAATAACACACTCGGTGGATCAATCTCTGGACAGGAGTAGGGTATTACTTCTCATTGAGAGGGCCTGAACCTGTATAAAATTCATTGTCTTCATACCCATCTATTTTTTCATCTTGATAGCCACCCTTTTTCTTATTGCCGAAATCTTGTTTCGACATGCATGTTTAACATCCGGCCCGTTTAGTGTCAATCAACTGACAGGGAGTACTGAAGGAAGAAAAAAAACAAGATGCAGCGTGGTATATATTGTGTTCAATAGGCGCCGTATGCCTTGTTAATTGCCCAGCCTGAGATTCATTGCATAGAAAAGAAATTGAGAGCCATATATATATGGGCCTGTTAGGCCAG